TGATGGAGACAGGGGATAATAGAGCGAGGCAAGCTAGAGGATGGGGTAGCTGACAGCACCCAGATAAAAGAGCAGCTGGTGCAGAGGGGATGGAAGGGGACTGTGGCGGCAGGAGAATCACACCAGCCTGCACGACGGGAAAGGGAGGAAGAGGCTGGGAGAAAACATCACGCCTGAGTGAAGGACTGCAGGGCTAAGTATCAGCCACTACTGAGCTGTGGCTTTCATTGCTCTTTATGTTCCTACTAGAGACGAAATTCGTGCATAGCGGGGTGGGGGGGATCCCTCAGCCAGGCCTGCACCCTCTCCAATCCAGGATCCCTCTTGCAATCCGGAACCACTGGCTCCTAACTACTCACCTGCCTGCCTGCCTGATCCCCCTAACCCTCTGCCGGCCTGATGCCTCTAACTGCTCTCCCCTGCCAGCCTGACCCCCTTAACTGCCTAACTGCTCTCCCCTCCTACCTGATCCCCCTAACTGCCTAACTGCTCTCCCCTCCTGACCGATCCTCCTAACTGCCTAACTGTTCTCCCCTGCCAGCCTGATCCCTCTAACTACCTAACTGCTCTCCCCTCCTGCCCAATCCCAACTGCCTAACTGCTCTCCCCTCCTGCCCGATCCCCCTAACTGCCTAACTGTTCTCCCCTGCCAGCCTGATCCCTCTAACTGCCTAACTGCTCTCCCCTCCTACCTGATCCCCCTAACTGCCTAACTGCCACCTTCTCCCTTCTCCCACGGTGCTGCCTTCTCCCGCAGCCTCTGCAAAAGGGACCACGGCGCTGGACCAGGCCTTGGCCCTCACAGCCAGCGCAGCCTTGGCCCGATCTGAGCGCCCTCGGCCCTTGCAGCTGCTGTGGCTTTGTCTGGAAGGACATCCTCCCTAATTAGCATATTACCCTTTTATTAGTATAAATAACTGCCAGAAACCAATTCTAGCATGTCATAATTGCAAGAGTTTCATCAAAAGGTTGATGGAACTTAGGGACTTAACAAGGGGTGAGTCACACATGTAGTCACCTGTTGGGAATGGCTGACGGCATTTCCCCAAACCTGAGAAGGGATGATTGCTTGGCTGCCAGACAGCTCAGGGCATCTTAATCTACATGTTATTGCCTCCTACTGGCCAAACACCTAAACAGCCGCAGGCTAATTCTTCCATTCTGACAATGCCTCCGTACAAAAACCCTACCCTTTGAAGTGTGTATCTCTGCCTCGCCTCAGGACAAACTGTGTTAATAAAAAGCATGGGGCCCTGAGACGAGAAGAACTTAGATCTTAGTTTCCTTTCAACTAGGCTCCTCTGACCCCCCAAATGCCTTTCAAAATTACACTTCGTTTCTGGACTCCTATGTCATCTACGCACAGCCTTCTCCAGATTCCTGAACACTCCTTGATGCCGGAACAAGAACCCCGGCAGGTAACTTCTCACGTGTCTACTGCATCCCCAACTAGAGGACAGGTTCTTTCCAAGCAGTGAGGGCCTGGCTGGCGTGGCTCAGTGGTTGAGCATCAACCCTTGCACCAAGTTCGATTCCCGGTAAGGGCACATGCCCGGGTTGCAGGCTCGATCCCCAGTGTGGGGCGTGTAGGAGGCAGCTGATCAGTGATTCTCTCTCATCATTGATGTTTCTATCTCTCTCTCCCTTCCTCTCTGAAATCAATAGAAATACTTTTTTTTTTTTTTTAAAGGCAGCAAGGTGCCTTCACCTCCTGAAATGGAACCTTGGTCGTGTCTACCAACATGGAGCAGGGAACACCCCTGAATGGAGACTTCCCCAGAGCTAAGCGCCACGAAGGCAGGGGTCAGCCTGTCCCTCCACGGCTGCCTCCCGGGCACGGGGCACCCACCTTGCTCGGCACCAGGGACTCAGGACACCACCCTAAGCCCAGGCTTCCTGCCCGGGACCCTCAAACTGAGCTCGATACACGGCACCTGGGCTAATCCCTAATCTGTTGTACCCTACTCGTTTTCGCTCCTTAAAGAAACGCGTCTGATGCCTTTAAAGATAAAGCAGGTTAGGCTTTGTAGACACGTAGGATGTGCCTCCCCGGATAATAACAGAAGCGTATCAGCTACCTTTACTGACGTCCCAGATGATGGCCGTGTTGTCCACAGAGGCGGAAGCCATCAAATTGCCATCGGTGGCCCAGCAGATATCGTACACATCTTCTAGGTGGCCCCTGGGATCCAGAGGGGGACGGGGGAAAGGAGAGAAAGAGGACAAGAAGTGTAAAGGCAGACCCAGGCACCACACGTTAGAATGAGATGTTAGAAACTGCCGCTGGGACTATCTGAGCTACAGCCACGACCGACCACATCCAAGGATATCTGTCTTTAAAACCGATTCGATTTTACTTGTTAGCAGAAACTCAGGAAATCCATTTTAATCATGCTTTTCTCTTTTAGAACCATTCTCTTATTGCTGTCTCGCATACGGAAAAGTTTCAAGGGAGATACAAAGTCAGAGCGCACTGTCAGCTGAATGCAGCCCTCGGGGAGGACGCGCCCGCCCCCAGCACCTCAGCGTCTTCACCACCGTCCAGTTCTCCTTGTTCAGCTCCGCCTCGTCCTGGTCCTGGAAGGCCACCTGCTCGGGCTCCTTGCTGTCGTTCACCTTCCACAGCAGAATGACCGCATCTGGCGGGATGAACGGGACAGGCCTGCTCTACCGCTCGCCCGTGGCTCCCGGGTTTTAGGCTATTAAACAGGTACCTTGTTCAGCTACGGCCGCGAGCACTGACTTCTAAGAATGCTGAGGGGAAAACAGGTTTGCCTTCTGAGCTAAAACCCCAAGATCAAACTCATACCAGATCAGAGCTAGACAAGTCGCCTTCAACAGAAGGGTCCCCTGGCGGGCCAATCACCACTGCAGAGCGACTAACAAACCAAAAGGCAGAGCCGAGAAACAACCGAGTAAAAAGAAACCCGCGCTGGTGGGATGATAGCTCCGTCGGTTACGTCGTCCTCCCCATATGCAAGGTTGCAGGTTCCGTCCCCAGTCAGGTCACATACGGGTACCCATCAAACAATGAATCATCAATAAGAGGAACAACAAATGTCTCTCTCTCTCTCTCTCTCTCTCTGTCTTTCTCTGTCTCTCTCTCTCAAATCAATAAATAAAAATTTTAAGTAAATTAAAAGGAAAAAAAAAACGCCAAAACCGGTTTGGCTCAGTGGATAGAGCGTTGGCCTGCGGCCCAGCCCCGATCAGGTCCCCTGGACCGTGTGGCCTGTGGGTGTCCAGAGGCGGCAGGTAGCGAGGAGGAGGAGCCTGGGGTGAGGAGGCGACGATCGCAGCCCAGGTTCCTGCCTGTTTGCCTGGGTTCACAGCATAGCAGCTCATCCTGGTCAGCTGAGTGGCACTCCCACTGTGGTAGCACACTGACCACCAGGGGGCAGCTCCTGCATTGAGTGTCTGCCCCCTGGTGGTCATTGCGTGTCATAGAAACTGGTCGTTCTGCTGTTCAGCCTATTTGCATATTAGCCTTTTTAAAAAAAAATACATTTTATTGACTTTTTACAGAGAAGAAGGGAGAGGGATAGAGAGTTAGAAACATCGATGAGAGAGAAACATCGATCAGCTGCCTCCTGCACACTCCCTACTGGGGATGT